TGAGTATTTTGTGTGTCACAGAAAAGTTCAGAATCATCATTGGCTTTGTTTCACCCGCACATCTTCAGTGTCATTAAGTAAGCCTGTTACCCTCATTAGTGGCATCAGTAACTAGTGTAATCCACCTTGCTTCGGCGTATCTCTTGTCTTAATGAGATGAAACAAGAGGACAAGACTGTCTTGCACAAGACCATAGATGTTTGTTGATCCATGCAGAAAATGTGAGCTCTGTATTCTGGCTGCTCTGAAGCCTGAGCTCACTGCTTTCTTCCTTGGGTTGTGTGGGGTCATGCCCATCACAGTCTGGCCAGGTCTGGGAGAGTGTAATTTAATTTTCTGTGCTCTAGTACTGAGTAGCTAGATGTGAAAATTTTGAAGAGTGGGAGAGACAGCTCTGGTGTAGGATGGGGTTATGCAATTTCCATCATCAGAAGAAATTATGGAGGTGGTTTAGAGGTGTCTTTGGTGGTTTCTCAGGACAGGAGGGAGGTTGGTAGCGACACCAGCTCCCCTGTTAAAAGTGTACAGCTTTATTTTCAAACATACGGTGTAGCCAAATTAAATACTTGGCTACAAAAGCACAGCTCTTCTCATTGATGGAGCCAGATTTCATGATAGTATAATTCATAAAATTAAACAAGCACTACAAGATGCTGGGAGGTGAGATACAAGTTCTGGTTTTACTCTATCTTCTTCTAAGGGTGAAGGTAATTCAATTAAAACTTGCAACAAAAAGTTGTCTGCATGAAAGCAATACTAGTTGTAGCTACAGCAGTGCTGTACTGAAAATGGAGGCTTTTTAGGAGGGGGGAGAGTCTTGTTATTAGACTGATTGCCATAGCCTTTCTAAAAAAGAGCTTGTAAGCCTGAAAGCTGATCTGTCTCCTGTAACAACTGTTCTAATAGCAGTCGCCTGCTATCTCCTGTAACAACTGTTCTAATAGCAGTCGCCCATACGGGCCTGGGTATGATTTGTGTTTTTAATTAATCTTTCAAGGGAATAAATGTATGCAAGTGATTAGTGAAAGGCTCCAACGGATGTCACCAAGTAAGAAGAGGTTGATCTCTTTTAGGATGAGTTAGTTTATTGATTCAAGAGAACAGATGTTTTGGTAAGGTCATGCAAAGTTTGGCTTGATTATATGCCCAGTTTAGGACATATATCTGCTATGTGTTTTACCTAGGTGGATGACTGGAGTCCAGCAGGTGGGTTTGAGGTAGGAGAACAGAGAATGAAGGGCTGTCATAAGAATTCAGGTCACCTTCACCTGGGAGGTGGAGATTAGCTTTCGCACTCAGTGAAGAGAGTCGAGTGAGCCAGGAGGTGACTGTAGCCTGAAAAATGTATTGACTCAATGCATCATATTGGCAGTCTGTGCTGGTGGGTCTCCTGAGTATCATCAATTAACGTGGGGTGCTGGAGCAGCCTGGCCCCGCTCAGGTGTGGCTGTTCCATCTGCCTGGCTGACCAGAAAGGCTCCCAGGGGAACCACATTAACACTCCCAGCTCCGCTGGGGATGAGTCAAGCCCCTTTGCCTTAGATGACTGACCACTGTAAGCAAACCTCAGCAATTAACATTGGATTTGCTGAAAGGCTTTAAGCATACTGTAGTGCAAAAGCTGGTTATGGCAGGAGAGTGCAGTTTGGAAAAACTAGCTCTCTGGGCAACTATTGGGCTGAACATGTCATCCATATATGCAGCACACAGACTGGCTCTACTCGGTGCCTCCCTCCTCTGCCCCCAGGATGTGTCACACAGTGTCCTTCCAGTAATAAATGCAGAAGGGATCAAATAGTTGTAAAGAGTCTACTTCTGTGATTATTGCTACTCTGAATTATAAATGACCCAGAAGCCAGAGCTGTTCACTGCATTCACTCTTCAGGCTGGCACTCAAAAGGCAGAGCGTTGCTTTAAAAAACATGATTTTAGAGAACAAAAGGGAAAGCGAGCACTATGGAAATTTAGTTAAATGTAAATGTGTTAAATGGTACATGAACTAGTCAGGTTTTCATGATTTATCATTTTTAACTTCAAAGGCTCTGGTTAGCTTGCATTTTTAAAACTAATGAGTTTATCACAGCCAGTGGGGAAAAATGGTTCAAGTATATCAGCTGTAAATTGGTACAAAGCACTAAAAGGGACATTAGCCTCTAATCAGATTCTAACAGTTCATTAAATGTGCCTTTCCTCGGTGGTGCTTTGTCTTCCCCCCTCCTCCTGCCTGCACCTCCTGAACAAGCCAGCCTCGTCCCTTCGTTTGGGCGGGTGAGACCTCCTCAGGGACAAGAAGCAATATCAGCTCATCCTTCTTTGTCTACAAGCTGAACAGCCTGAGGGATGCTTGATGATGGTATATTCCTGATCTTGCTGTAAAACTCAACTGTGCTGTGTATAAATCAAGTAGAGGGAGGGACCTCTCTGCTTGCAGAATAGGCACTGGGGGAACCAGGAATGCTAGGCTGGCTCCTGCTCTTGCTCCACCCAAACCACATCCAAGGTGCCGGAGCCCCATGACACCCGAGATCCGCTGCTGATAAGTAAACAGAGCACCGCCCTTGCTGGGAAGAGGGATGTGAAGCCTGGGAACAATTTCAGCCAGCTGTTTTGTGGCATTGAAATCCCTCCTGCTTTTTCCCCATCTCGTGCCTCAAACACTGAATAGAAATTAAGGTGCACAAAATAAATTGCTGAGAAGAACGTCGGAGGAGCATTTTTTTCTTCTTTTTCCTGTTGTGTCAAGTTGAAAATCCGGTAGATACACGGCAGTAGCATAGTATGGGCTAGGATATCTCAGCAGCTCACTTGTCTTCATGCACACATGCTTGAATGTGGAGGTGTTTTGCTGAAAATTTTAATCTGAAGTTTTTTTTAAGTTAGCATTTAGAGCTTTATATGACCTAGGACTATTTGTAAGGGAAAAGATAGAGAATTCATTTTCTGTTACATTTGCTTATCTGCTTTGCCATCAAGTTCCTGCCTGCCCTGTAGTATCAAACTGCAGCTCTGTGTGTTGTAATACATGAAGGTTCAAAGTGAGGACAACGGGGATTTTAAGCAGGTCATTTGCTCTGCCTGTGGCACTGTGTTGGAGCATGGGCATATTGGTTTCCCTGCTTTTCAGCATGTTATTTAAATTACAATAAAGTAAATGAGCATATGGAAATAAACAGTTGCTGCAATATTTATGTCACTGAAAATGAAGATTCTGGGATGAGGTACCTTAATTGGAACAAAGAAAATATTAAAAGTAATTTAGATATTAAAAATGCATTTTGGAAGCTCCATTAGGACTGACTATTTTTCTAAAATTTCCCCTGAAGTAGCCACTCTAAGAAATAGGACTATGAGTAGTATACTCCTTATGAGTAACAGCACCATGCAGTAGAGAAGAGATTAGCTGCCTGTGAAACACAGGGGAAGTGTTTTTTCCCTTACAGTGCAGTTATTGAGGACTACAAGGTGATGTTTAGAGTGGAGGTGAGTTTCCAGTCCTGAGTGCTACCTTCCAGATGGGGCTGTGGATAAGTAAGTGGCTGTGAATGAGCCACAAGTGATACGTGGTGAAGTTTTGCTATTAGAAAATAGCTGTGATGTCTTTGTATTTCTGTACCGCTGACCAAGGTGTCCAGATTCATCAGGTCAGATTCTAGCTTGAGGGATAAAATGTCTTTTATTTTTCACATGTTGTACAAACTAAATGGCAGCTGAAAGGACTAGCATTCAGACACCAGCCTTGAGCCTTGGCTGAGATAGAGAAATTGACTCAAGTTGAGGTATGTTGAACTCAGTTGACCTGAAGGCACAAGAGATTGTCCTGCATGCCAACATAAACTGCTCCAGCCAACAGTGGAATGAGATGTTCAGAGCAAGGATGTTGATTCAGAGAAACATTATTCTGCAAATCTTATTTCACTTTGAAGCTGTGAGCATATCCTGCCCACTACTGCAAGGGCAATGCAGGTTTTTAAAATATTTATTTTGTGTCGGAAGTGAGTACATGGGAATTTTCACATGGAGTTGGTATATGTTAATTTATAGGGTGTGTGTGCCTGCCTTTTCTATAACTTCTCAGAGTGTTGTGTCCAGTTCTGGGGTCCCCAGTTCAAGAGGGACAGGGATCTGCTTGTGAGAGTCCAGCAGAGGGATACGAGGATGATTAAGGGACTGGAACACCTGTCTTATGAGGAAAGGCTGAGAGACCTGGGGCTGTTTAGTCTAGAGAGGAGAAGACTGAGAGGGGATCTTATGAATGTATAGAAATATCTGAAGGGTGGATGTCAAGAAGGAGGGGTCAATCTCTTTTCAGTCGTGCCCTGTGATAGGATGAGGGGCAATGGATGCAAGTTAGAGCACAGGAAGTTCCACCTCAATATGAGGAAGAACTTTTTTACAGTGAGGGTGATGGAGCACTGGAACAGGCTGCCCAGAGAGGTTGTGAAGTCTCATTCTCTGAAGACTTTCAAGACCCATCTGGATGCCTTTCTGACTGATCTTACTTAGTTTTTGGTCCTGCCCTGGCAGAGGGGTTAGACTCCGTGATCTTCAGAGGTCTTTTCCAACCCCTGAGATTCTTTGAATTAAAGCCTGTGCTTTCTCTAGGTAATAAAAAAGTTTAAAGTGTTTTTATTGAAATAAATATATCTAAGTATACTGCCAAAAGCCTGAACCTGTTTGATGTCACTGCTCTCCTTTCCAGTTCTAAAGCAAGGAATTTATATATGTACACCTGTGTGATTAATTTCAAATTAAAAAATAATAATTGGAGGTGGTTTTCCCTTGTTGCTGACAAAGGCTTATTTCTCTTTAAGGATAACTGCAAGTATAATTTACTGTTACAACAGGAGTAACTTGGTAGCTACTCCTTGAAATTTGTATTATGCCTTTGTTAATTTCCACTAAAAGAAACTTTACTTCTACAATATCGTAAAACTCAATCAGTGAATTAAACTAAGTGTTTTTAATAACTTTTTGTTAACCTTGTCCTTTTCTTGCCTTAGGATATCAGCGCCTTTGAGAACAGAATGTTAATGCTGGATGGGATGCCGGCAGTCAGAGTCAAAACAGAGCTGCTGGAATCCGAACAAGGGGTAAGCAGAGATTTCTGTACAGCCTTGCTCTGCAGTGTGCTGGTGACCCTTCTTGAGCTTCTGTGGTCAGCTGTCCCATTGTATTGTAATTTTATTTTCTATGATTTTCTTATTTTCTATTGCTGGGAGTTAAATTTCTTAGGAGGCATACTGGTGAGCATCTAGTTTCATATGCTGTGAGCACAAAACAGAACACTGTGGAAGACCTACTGAAATTATTTGGGATAGCCAAGATGTGGTTGTTTAATTTTATTATTATTATTTAAAAAACCCCAAAAGAATAATGGGTTATGGTAAGGAAGTCAGATTCTTACATCTGAGAAGTCCATAGATATCTTTGCTATCCTGTCCTTTTTGGATATTTGCCTTACTGTGGTTGTTTATATGCTTGTCCTACTTAATTTTCTGTTTGTGCAAACCTGCTGTCATTCTGGGGGAGTACACTTGTTTATCATTATGATAAGGGGGCCAGAAGTTTTGGATGGTTAAAGCTGGTGTCATGTTGTCTGCTGAATACAGGACAGATCATGAATGAAATTTTGAGTTTTTTTCTGGGTAAGTGGTTGGCATTGAAGTGGTGTATTTTAGTAAAACAGAAGACTGTACTTTTCGAACAGACTGAGGGTATTTTCTTACATATGTGGTAATAATTACATCAGGGATTGTAGATTACTGTAAGGGCATCCATATTTAATGGATTTTTTTTAAAAATCATGAATCTTTATTTCCTTGTGTGCTCTTATGTTATCCTAAAGAATGCAAGCCACCTTACTACTCTGAGGACAGATGCCTTAAAAAAGTAGAGATCATTCTAGAAGCAGCAGTGCTATTACCAGATAGAGATGGGCTTTTGCCTCCTTCTATTCGTTGACTTTTTTCCTTCCTGCTGTTTTCTCACTTATTGAGAATGTAAATCATATGGAAGAGAGGGAATTAACTTTCAGGATGATTTAATTTGGAAGGCTTGTGAGTAGATACCAGTTATTCAGGGTTTGTTGGGGTTTTTTTGAGTCTTTGAGAGAAAAAAACCCTTGATATTTAATGGAGTTCTTGCTCAGTCTTGCCATCTTGAGTGCAGGTATCCTCAGAAAGCACTCCAACACAGTGTAGCTTGAGGGAACGTAAAAGTTGGACTATTGTATGAGCCACAATGATGAAAAGACAGATCCAATAGAGGTACATTTTAATATCTTCTGGATGCTTTGCGTTACGTCTTTGTACGTAACATAAGTCTTTCTGATACTGTTCAAAACACAAATGTTTTATTGGTATTTACCAAAGTAAATTTAGGTATGATGCCTGTTGCTGGATCCTTTATGAAGAATACTTCCTTCAGCAAAATCTGATTTGATTCTGGAAGATCTACTTGGTTTCTAGGAAGTGGAAGGAAGTGAACAATTTATATATATTTTTAAATTTCCTTAGGGTTTTACTAATAAAATTTTACAGACTTCTGTGTAAGCAGAAAATTATGTTGTTGTCTTCTTTTACAGTGACAGAGCTGTTGGACAAAGAGCTTGGTTTGATTTGTGATTTTATGCACTTTACTACTAATTAAGTAGTGTCTGGTCAAGAATCTCTGGCACCTTTATGACTCTTCATTAGGGAACAATCAATAAATGGAAAATGAATTCTCCAGTTCACTAACAGAGGAGTTAGCCATTAGGATGGCAATTTTCCAGCGAACAGCTTAAACTCTTAAGGAGAAAAGTGGTTGAAACAGATGTTTAGCATGTGCTTCAGAGACTGTTTTGAATATGTAGATGTTGGTAGACATAACAGGGACAAATGTTTTGAAGGATGTGATTACCAAAAGGAACCCATGGAGCTGTTTGGGAGGATGAATATCATAACTGGGAAGCATGGAGTGGGAACTCAAGTGTGATCCAAGTAGAATTAATCTGAAATTATGATGTCTGTTTGTGGTGTTACAGTGCCCAAGTTCCTAGAATTGCACCTGCATCGCAGCATATGCCTCTACTGGGAGACATGATTTCTACTTTGAAAATCTGCAAACTAAGATAGGATTTTGAGTCTTCTGTAGGTAGTGGCCAAAGAAAGCTTCAGCACCTAATATGCTGAACCCCAGGCAAGACTAGGCAAACTTTACAAAAACCTGTTTGGAAGACAGTTGGATTTTTTTGCTGGCCCTGCATGGTATCTGCTGTTGGCTCTAAGTTTGCTGCCAGGGCAAAAGTTGAGACATGGTTTAACAGTTTTGGAAAGAAAATTTCATCTGTGGTTAGGAGACTGTGAAGGTGGTGTCAGTTGTGGAGGAGTGAAACCAACAGAGACTGAAGCACCAGAGGCCCTCAGCCAGGGTGGTGAGCGCTGAGCGGTCAGACCAGAGAGCACTGAGTTGCCATGCCTTGCTACTGGGGCTTTGGAGGAGCTGGGATAGTACAATCTGGACCACTTTGTTGAATAGTCTCCTGTTTAAGTCTGAGCTCATGCTTCAAATAAACTTCTTGGTTTGAATGCTGATCATGGTGAAGGACCTCCCACAGCTATGCTAGCAGTTACCTGTTCTTGTTGTGAAAATATGCACCTAATTTTTTAATCTGAATTTATCTAGCATCAGCTTCCAGCCCTTTCCAGTGGCAATGTAAGAGCTCCCTCCTGGTGGTGTGTGGTGATCTCACTTAGCCCTTTCAGGTCCAGGCCATACAAAGAGTGGTGAAGCAAACGGGGTTCCTCCTCAGGTTGCTTTTTTAATTCATGTGTTGCCTCATAGTTTGTGAACCAGTAACTCACCACCAACCTATTGACTTGAGCAGTAGAAAATGCCACTGCCTGGCAACTTTGGTAAAGTGATCAACAATCACTGCCGTAACTTAACAAATCAGAAATAAAAAGCTCAGAAAGAAGTAACCTACTTTTCCGTCTTTTACACCTTTAAACGTATTCCATCAAAATGGAAGCACAATAGTGGGGGGAGGAAAGAATTGATAAAACAAAACCAGCTTTTAACCATGTTCGCTCTTCACTTACCTTTTGTGACATATGGCTACCATAGGCACCACCTGGCTGTGTGCATTTCATTAATCAGAAATTCTTCTTCCCTGTGCTGCTTTGGGTAACTTGGTCTTCACCAGGTGTTGTCTCTTGATTACATGTGGTGGTAGTAGAAATCACCCGTGATGTAGAAGGGAACCAGAACAGAACAATCCTTGAGCAGAGGCTAACATTTTCTTCTGTATTTAGCTAGCAAACCAGGCAATCAGGCCATTTTATTTCCATGTTGGTTTTGGTTTTGCTGTTGGAGTCCTTGGTCTTGTTGCAGGAAAGGTTAAATGTAAGATTCTACTCTACCATGACCACCAGGATTCTTAACTTTCTTGTTAGGAGATGTTTTGTTTCATGACTCTTCTGTGTCTTGCAGTATGTTTAGGTGCTCTATGTCCAAACCTGGGATGATGCGTCTGGAAAGCTTTTAAGAAGTATTGTTAAATAGCATCTCAGTCCTTACACTGCAGAAGTATTATGTATCTAGAGCAAGAGAAGGTGGATTTAAAATACAATATAGCAGAAGGAATAAGCAAACAAAGAAAAGTGTAGTCCAGCTGAAATTTTATGTATCTCTGGGAGAATGAAGCTGTGTGAGCTACTCCCACTGCAAACCAGCCCAGTTTTAGCTGAGGCTGAAAGGAATTGGAGCTGAAGCCTGTTTCAGCTATGCCCCATGCACCAATTCTTTTGAGCCTGTTACTAGAGAAGAGGCAGCAGGACTCAGGAGTCAGCAGGAGCTACAGTCTGCCTCGATGCACAGAAGGCAAACCTTTATCAAGCCAAGTTAAAAAGGCACTGAGTGCAAGCTAGATGATGGTGGGAGAATGGGATGTAGGCAGCCCCTATGGGAGACATGTCTTATGGGATTTATGTTACTGAACAAATTAGAACAAAGAAGTATTTACAAGGGAGATAGATTTTCTCTTTACTTTGGAAAAAAATGAAAACTCTTCTGATTTGTTTTATCATCTACAATTTAGAATAGTTTAATGATTTTTAGAAGGCCATCAGCATTAGCAAGAACAGATGCTTATTTTTCCAGTGAACTACTGTCCCTGATTTTGCACAGGAGATTTAATGCAGACTATTGTTTGAGACTTCAAGAAGACACAGTGCTGCTTTATTGACTTTATCACAAATGAAAAGAAAGACATTGCATAGAAGATACCGTATTGCACTTTAACAAGGCTTCGTTATTATCTCCCCTACTGTGCAACAGGAGCTAGCATTGCTAATAAATTGGTAGAATTACTTTAGAAATGTGAATTTGCTTATCATTTAATACCCTCCAGTGACTTAAAGCTTTTAGATCTTTTGGTCCACAGTAGAATCTTTGGATGTCAATAAGCAGCTTCAGAGAA